ATGGTTTCTGGTCTGATGTTGAGGTCTTTAATCCATTCTGATCTTACTTTTGTACATGGTGTTAGGTAGAGTTCTGAGCCCACTTTTTTGCATGTAGTCATCCAGTTCTTCCAGCAGGACTCTCTCTAACTTTGTTAAAGAGGCTTTCCTTACTCCACTTCACATTACTTGCACCTTTATCAAAGATTAGATGATCATGTGATTGAGGGGAGATGTCAGTGTATTCAACCCTATTCCACGGTTCTGCAGTTCTGCCTTTGTTCCAGTACCTTGCTGTTTTAATTATTACTGCTTTGTAGTACAGTTTGAAGTTCGGGAGGTTGATTCCTCCCATTTTCTTTTTCCCAAGAATTGCTTTAGCTATTCGTGGGGGCTTATTGTTCCGTATAAATTCCAGGAGTGTTTGCTCCATTTCTTTGAAGAATGTCATGGGTATCCTTATAGGGATTGCATTGAATGTATACAATGCTTTTGGTAGTATTGCCATATTGACAATGTTAAGTCTCCCGACCCATGAGCAGGGGATATCTATACATTTCCTCGTGTCCTCTTTTATTTCCTGAAGTAGCGTATGAGGTTTTCTTTGTACAGGTCCTTTACTTCCTTAGTTAAGCTGAATCCTAGGTACTTGATTTTCTGGGGCACAATTGTGAACGGGATTTTTTTTTCATGTAGCTTTCTTCTCTCTCTTCCTAACATGAAACTTTCCATGTAGTACCTCTTGTATGTAAATTTCATGACTTCCTCTTTTCTAACAGCTACATAGTACTCCATTGTGCAAATATTACCAAAGTTTCTTTAACCACTCATGTGTACTAGTGCACTCAGGCCTTTTCCCGATTCTAACTATTGTAAGGAGGGCTGCAATGAATAAACAAGTGCAGATGTCACTTCGACTATACTTCATTTAAGGGGCAAGAAAAGTGAAGTGGAGCAAGGAAAGACTGTTTAACAAATTGTGCTGGCAAAACTGGACGGCTACATACAAAAATGTGGGCAGAGATCTCTGCCTAAAATCTCTTACAAAAGGAAGATCAAAGTGGATTAAAGACCTCAACATCAGACTGAAATCCATAAGGTACATTAAAGACAAAGTCGGCAAAACCCTCCATGACATTGAAGCTAATGGTATCTTCAAAGATGTCACGTCGCTGGCCAAGCAAGTGAAAACAGAGATGGACAAATGGGACTATCTTAAACTACGAAGCTCCTGCACCGCAAAAGAAACAGTGACCAAAATACAAAGACAGTCTACAGAATGGGAAAGGACATTCGTCCACTATTCATCTGACAAGGGGTTGATATCAAGGATATACAAAGTACTGGTTGAACTCCACAAGAAGAAATAATCCAACCCCATTCAAAAAATGGGGCAATAAAATGAATAGAAATTTTCTCAAAGAAGAAATCGGAATGACTAAAAGGCACATGAGAAAATGCGCTACATCATTAATCATCAGGGATATGCAGATCAAAACCACCATGAGATATCATTTCACACCACAGAGACTGGCCCACATCCACAAGAACAAAAGCTACTGGTGCTGGCGTGGATGTGGCAAGAAAGGGACCCTCCTTCACTGCTGGTGGGAATGCAGACTGGTTCAGGCCCTCTGTAAAACAGTAAGGACGATTTTCAAAAAATTAGAAATTGAGCTCCCATTTGACCCAGCAATACCACTCCTGGGAATATATTTCAGAGAGGCAGAAAAAAATAATTTTTTTAAAAAAGTAAAATTATGGGCCTCTGGCGACACACACACACACACACACACACACACACACACACACACACAACTATCTACGATTCACTGTTCCAGTGAGTCTGTAATTATTATCCCAACCCAGGCAAATGCATGATGCTTGATTTCTACTGAAACAATTTCAACGAGATTGCAGGTGTCTCTTCAGAAGCAGTCCCCCAAATCATTGCCTATTACAGAGAATGTTGCTGCGAGATTTTCTGTTTTGAAGACAACGGGGATAAAGTTGCCTGTGAGATGCTGACTTTTCTACTCAGCTCAAAAGGCACTGCAGGTACTATCCTGGGTGCAGTTGTTATTTTCCATACAGCAAATCTGATGAAAAGCCGACCCTCCATCCCAAGGCACCTGCTCCAATAGAGCATGCAGGTTCTCCTTCTTAAACTTCTGACCTCGCTTGTAAAATCCAGGTGAATGCGGTCACAGAACGACACAAGAAGACACGGTGATTTAGACTGAGGAGAATGTCGTGGGAAAAAAGAGAGAAAACAATTTTATCCGAGTCTGTATGTACCTGAGGACGTAGGTACCCATGGAGGTGTACACACTTCGCCATCATCTATAATTCTTTTAGAGAAGCTACTTACGAATGCACAGGCAAAATGGTAGCAAGTAGATTTTATTTTTCCATTTTTTTAATGAATCAAGGTGAGACACAGTTACAGACTTACAAACTTTCGCGATTATGTTTCAGTCATACAATTTCAAGTACCCACCCCTCCACGGGTGCCCAGTCTCCAACACCAATGTTCCCAGTATCCCTCCCACCACCCCCAACCCTTTCTACCCCACCCACCTCCCCGCCTCTGTGGCAGGCACTCTACCTCTTACTGACTCTCTCCGTTGGTGTGTTAAATAATTTTCTTTTACATACAATTTTCTCTTTTTTTTGCAAATTTTTAAATTACTTTTCCAAGAAGTATTTCACGAACGTTCATTGCAGATCATATTCAAACACCAATCCCACCACCAAGTACCCTCTCTCCAGAGTATGAGGGAAGTGAGCACACAGATTTTTGACTTACGTGAACTTTCACTGCACGAGCGATGTGTCATTATTCTTCTGTGGTGACAAAGTCATGAGGGACACTCTGAGAGTGGATCAGATATCTACACACAAAATAATTTGCATTTTGGAAGACAGTTTCACTGCATATAAAAGAATGGATACATCCAAATCGCCACAAAAACATTTGAATTTTGGAAAACTATTCTGTTGCATATGTTAGAATATGTGCGTCCAAATCGCCACACATATCCTCACTGTGTTCGTTAGGAGGTGCCTTAGAAAGACAGGTGTTTGAGATCACAACGATCATGGTTTTGCTATGAAGGTGAATCAAGCTATAGATGAATAGATGGAGAGACTTTATAATCGCTTAGCAAAGGCGTTTGGGTTAATCAAAGAAACATTGATTCATTAAATTTGGGATAGACTTTAATTCCTGAAGTGGTTTCAAAATATTGTGAAAAGTCGTCATACACTGAAGACCATTATAGATTTTGCTAATTCCGTGGACTTGAACGATAGTCATGATCAAATGGGCATCGAATTCTATCATTTATCCAGGATAATATAGGTTTAGATAATTTGGGTGTTTGTGCCTTGTCATTATTTAAGTAATAATATACTAGAAGGGCCCAGAGAAGAGGTGCCTTCACATGGTCTATCCAGGTTTGATTTGCAGTACCCCATTTGATTCCTGGGGCCAGGAATGATCCCTGAACACAGAACCAGAGTCAACTCTGGGTACCATCAAATGTGACCCCTAAACCAAAAATTAAAAAAAGAATATTAGTCTAATCAAGATGAGATGAGTGATCTTATCAAAAGAAAGTTAAAATTGAAATTTTCTTCATTAAATAATTACAGGGATGTGGTTACAGTAGTGTCAAAATTTATGATTCTCTTCAAAAACATTAGTGAGCCCATCACCAAAAGTGGGAAATTTATAAAGATGGGTAAACTAAAACCAACTCCTTTTATCAGCCTGATAGTGCTGGTAGAATGGTAATTTTCCCAAGTGAAAAACCTCAAATTTCTTTTTTTGCTTTCACCCGTACCAGACAGGTAATAACACGTTATCATGTATCTCCCTTTATCAACTTTCCGCATTCAGTTCTTGTCCAGTGTGGTCATTTCCAACTCTCGTTGTCACAGTGGCCCCTTCTCTATCCCAACTGCCTTATCCCCACCATCACCTGTGGGCAACTTCCAACCTTGGACCAGCCCTCCTGACTCTTTTGTTCCCTCCATATTTGGGTATTATTCTCACACTCTGGTTTTTACATCCCACAAATGAGTGCAGCCCTTCCATGTCTGTCCCCCTCCCTCAGACTCCTTTCACTCAGCATGAGACGCTGTGTGTTCATCCATTGAAGAAGCTTGATAGCAAATCTTTTGGTTTGTCTCAGGGGAAACTGCCCACACATCTATTGATGGCGTTTAGTTAAGGAAGTAAAGGTCCCCTACCAGTGAACTTTGCAAGCAGTCTATTGGGCATTCTGTCCTTATGTAAACAGACCCTTGGTTTATGCAGATGCCTATTAAATATTTTTTTCTTTTTGGATCAAACCTGGCGTTGGTCAGGGGTTCCTCCTGGATCATGCACTCAGGAATCACTCCTAGTGCTAGAGGGACTGTATAAGATATGTCCAGTCTTAAGTTACAATGGTGTCATGATATATAACATCTCTCAAATTTCAGCCACTTTTCTACTTTTAGTGAGAAACCTGTCATGAAAAAACGAACTGTTATTTCCAGAAAGAGCTTTAAATAAAAATGTTATTGATTTAGGATTTTTGGGGGGTGTCACACCCAGTGATGCTCAGGGGTTGCTCCTGGCTTTTCACTCAGGAATTATTCCTGGTGGTGCTTATGGGACCAACTGGGACACCGGGGATCGAACCCAAGTCGGCCACATGCATGGCAAATGCCCTAACCTAATAATAATAGTATTATTGCTTCTGCCCCAAGAGGAAAAGTTTTGAGAGTAGTAATTCCTCTAAGTTATGACATTGGCCATACCATGTTGTCTTCTATTATATCCTATCCCCTTCTCTCCGACCAGATAGTTAATACTGTTCACGCATGCAGTGTTTGACATATGTTCTAGCATTAACTGGGAAATCAGAATAGAATTGATATATGTCTGATTAAATTAAATTCGATTAAAGCTTGATCATTTTCTCTTATCCTTCATGGGACATGCAAGGGATATCCAATCAATTAGTAATCTAATCAATATAATGAAAAGTATCATCCTCGAGATAGTTGATCTTATTTCTCCACTGACCAAGACACTTCCGAATAGGATTCCATCTGCCTAAAGAGAACGAATCCCCATTTTGGAGGAGAGGTAATTGTCGAAATACTCCTATTCAAGCAGTTATTTTTGTGCTTTCCAAATAAGAGTCGTTGCATCAAACACAGCCTTGTGCATAGAATGATCAGTTTATTAATTTAGGCATCCAATGTAATACAACAACGTGTGTGAAAGGAAAGAAGAGGAAACCATGGGCTGAGCTCATGAAGATAGTAGGAAAGAAGGAATTACAATTGGATTCCTGATCTGGTTTCTGAGATGCGACTGCTTTTGTAGAGGTCAGCAGGATCTGGAGAGGTCTACAAAAATTAAAACATTAAAAAAATTTTATATAGATTCCAAGGGTTCCATTGTGGTAAACATTTTGGGAATGAGGGAGCAGTTATAAATGTAATTTATAAGAGATTTTTTTTGGCTTTTTGGCTCACTCCCATCAATGCTCCTGGGTGACTCCTGGATTGTGCACTCAGGAATTCCTGCTGGCTGTGCTAGGGGGACCCTATTGGAGGCTGGGAATCAAGCCCAGGTTGGTCGTGTGCAAGGCAAATGCCCTACCAACTATGCTATCACTCCAGCCCCTGTAAAAGAAATTTTACTGCAGAATTTGTGGCATGAACCTTCATCTGTGATATTCAGGGTAAGAACTTCACTGCTATAATACATGTGGTCGTGGATGATCTTCTAGGAGACCTTACATCAAGAAGTAAAAGTAAGTAAAGTAAAGGCCCTCCCGTTGATCATCGATTTGCTCGAGTGGGCCCAGTAACGTCTCCATTGGAGACTTTGTTGTTACTGTGTTTGGCATATTGAATACTCTCGGTAGCTTGCCGGGCTCTCCGAAGCAAATCAACATCAAGAAGGTAATATAGAAACGTGTTCGTGGCTGCATGACATGGGGAACTGAACTCTGCAAGTGTGTGCCCTATTGGACTTCTTTTCTTATTTCTTGGGGACTGGTGGGTAATTGGACGTCACTTAGCTGTTCTCAGAGACCAAATGTGGTGTACAGGATATGTAACACAAGGGCTGGCACACTCCACATAGGAGACATGAGACTTCCTTGAATGACATGGACATCTCTAGAAGAGTTCCTATGATAGCTTGCTGTCACTGGGATTCGCAAGATTAAAACCTCATTCAGAGTACAATGCTTCACTGTTTTTAAAAAACTTTTGTCCTCGAAACACAGAATCCCAATTCTATGCGATAGTTCCACGTTAGCGTGGAGCATGGTTTAAATTCGCACACATACACGTGTCTGCATCATAGTCGTTGCCACCCCTCTCTTCAGAGGAGTCGTATCTTACTGTTTCAAGTGGACACCCCTCCCAAAGTCACCCTCACCTCGTAAAATATCAGGAGAAACCCTATCATCACTCACCCAACAGATGTCCTTACTGAGGGCAGGTATCTGTGGATGAGAATTAAGAGAGGGTTCAAAATGATAGCTGATACTTTCAATATTTCTAAGCACTACATTCATCAAAAATTTTTTTTCCCAGATCCCAGGTGTCCAAGGGACACTAGATAATAAAGCTTTCTTGAAGAAAAGTTCAGAATGGCCACTTTTATACCCAAGAAGAGCAAACAGTTAATTTACCTGCTGATTCGACATTCAAGATGTTTTCTTCGTTGATACCGTGTTGCTTTACCAAGTTTGTGTACACAATCTGATCTGCCCAATTGAATTTGTGGCCAGGTCTTACTGCAATGGGCAGAGAAGAAGGGAAAAAGACAGTCATTACAATGCATCCTACTCTTTAGAATGGGCCACAGTCACCCCATGCAGAAGGATAGATTTCCCTGTCTTCCCCAGGCTACCCAGGTTGTTGAATGCAACATCCCTCCCTCGCAGTACCCCTCCTCTGGGTCTTGAACAGGTGAGTCCTTTCTGATAGAGATGTCAGGAGGATGCTAAGTGAGCACATCATCACTCCACAGTTCCCTTGAGCAAAGCCTGGGGTATTTCACATAGCTACCCGAAGACGCCCTGAAAATATCAAGTCCTGAATGCTTCTCACTCAATTTTTGACCAGGTTGCTCGTACGTCTAAAAGACTGAACACAGTGATACTCTAGGCTGACCTGGTGCAGTTCTGCAGCTGAAAGGTATCTGTCACTGATTTTATTTTTCCTTAGGTCCCCTCGAGCAAATGGTTTGCGTTCCATGTCCTAAACTATGATAGCTAAGGGGCACATTTCATCCTTAGGGTTTTTGTTCGGGGTGGGAGGGTGGCTTGATTTCCCATAAGAGTACTGTAGCTCTGTGCTCCCATTGTTCATCCATTTGCTCATCGGGAACCAGTCACGTCTTCATGGTGAGACTTGTTGTGACTCTTTTGGCCATATGTTAAATACGCCATGTGGTGCTTGCCAGGCTCTTCCAAGAGGGCAGCATACTCTTGGTTGCTTGCCGGGCTCTCCGAGAGGGACAGAGAAATCAAGCCTCGGTCAGCCCCGTGCAAGGCAAACGCCCTACCCACTGTGCTCGGTAGGGTTAAATATATCATAACTCCAGGGTATGTTTATTTGCTGAGAGATATATTGGACTGGAGAGTGCATTCTGGGCTTCTATTAGCGGAAACTCCAGGTCTCCAGGATATGTGGGACTCATTCTTTTTTCAATTCAATGCATGTGTGTATCGTTTCCTTAAGTAAAGTCTACATGTCAAAACATTCACTTATTCTGCCCAGAATGAGAAGCATACCGGCAGCTTCTACCACATTTGTGACGAGTCCATTTGCATCGGTGTTCGTGGCGCAGAGGACCAACATGTACTTGGATTGATGGCAAAAGGTGAAGTAATTTTTTCCTGAGACTGTGAAAGAGAGGAGGGAAAAATCAGGACTCGGGAAGAGTCACATATTTTCTTACTTATCTTCTTGTGATGGAAGGAGCAGGGACCGTGGGTGCCGGTTCAATGATTCCCAATATCTTTAATAGATTCAAGAACGAAAACATTGGGTTGATAAAAAGTGCTCGGAGTGGGAAGGTAGAAAAATCTGTTGGAAAGGAGAGGAGAAAGGACAAGGAATTCCCCTGGATAGGACTCACTTAACTAAGGCTCTTCTGCTGTGGTTTTAAGAGGAAAGCAGAATCTTTGTGTTACAGAAAATGCAGCTAAGTTAAAGATCAGGGAAGGTTGTGTGGGCTTGTTGAAATGGAAATTGGGCTTTTTGTATTTTTTTTTCTTTTTTGGGTCACACCCGGTGATGAGGTGATGGTCAGGGGTTCTTCCTGGCTCTTCACTCCTGAATGACTCCTGGCGGTGCTCAGGGGACTCTATAGGATGCTGGGAATTGAACCTGGGTCGACCGCGTGCAAACCAAATGCCCTGCCTACTGTGCTATCACTTCAGCACCTGTATTTTTCTAATTGCAGAGAAAACAAGAATCCAGCAGATCTGTTTCTGGTTATATGCCTTGGGTATTGCCCATGATCTGATCCTCTAGGTGACCCTAAATTTGGGCAAAAATTTAGGCTAACAGTTGCTAACTCCCTGTTCATCAGAAAGAGCCTGAGAACTTGCAGGAAGACAAAAATGTAGAAGGGGCCATCAGAATCTGTTCACAGTAGCGGAAAGGGGAAAAAATGATAGGCTATCTCATTCACCTGCGTCTTATTTTGTGCACGCTAAGATCAAGCCTTTAAGTCGTCATCTTTGGACCCATATCACTGTCATCAGGTTTCAGATTCTGTGACGTCAGCTTTTGAGCAATGTCATTTACCAAATTCTCTACAAGCAGAGCACTTCCTCTGTCTTCGAAATACACTTCGACATGAATAGATTTTGCCTATGCTGCGACGAGTGTGTAAATTATAGCTGAGTCCCTTACATCCTCTCTGGGAGATCTATAATATGTAGTGAAAGAGGAGACTTCATTTGCAGCTTAAGTGAATGGCATATCATACTTCTCAAGAAGTTCACGGGACGAAAACATTTGGGGGCTGAATTGTTTCCTTAAAGGGCAGTCTCATTTTGCAAGACTTGTGGGCTAAAATTTCTCAAATTGGGCGAACCTATTGTCTCCACAGTCATCGCTCACCCATACTTAGATATATTTGCTCTTGAAATGAAACCAAGCTTACAACCAAATCCTGTTTCATACTTCAATAGGTATTACAGAAAAGGTTCTTAAATAGTATTGAACTACATACATTCTAAAGTTGTATTCTATTGGATCCTACTGTTATATCCTTATATTTATAACTTCCAAAATCTTGTCAGATAAGTATCAGAGAGCCATGGTTTACCATGTTGTCCAAGTGCCTGGATATTTCCCTACTAGTTTGGATAATATTGATTGTGAAAAAATATTTTCTGTTCCTTCAAATTACATAGCTCAAAAATTCCCTCCCAGTCGTTTCATTTCAATTAAATGCATTCTTTTTGTTTGGAGATTTTTGTTCCTGTGTAAATTTTTTATAGGTTTGATTTTCTTTGGGTCACACCCAGCAGTGCTCAGGTGTTACTCCTGCCTCCAAATTCAGTAATGACTCCCGGTGATGCTCAGGGGATCAAAGACACGTTCAACCTCATGATAGACCAATGCCAACCCGTTGTCCTATCGCCCTGACAGCTAATTCTGCACTTTAAGTTAAGGGCACATACATCGCAAGTAGTTTATGTGAACAATCACTGTCAATGTCACTGTCCTCCCATTGTTCATCGGTTTGCTCGAGAGGGCACCAGTCACGTCTTCATTGTGAGACTCGTGACTGTTTTGGCTTGCCAGGCTCTGCCATGCAGCGGGATACTCTCAGTAGCTTGCCGGGCTCTCCGAGAGGGACAGAGGAATCGAACCCAGCTTGGCCACATGCAAGGCAAATGCCCTACCTACTGTGAACAATACTTTTCTTTTCTCTTGCTTTTTTGGGGGGAGGGGGTGGTTTATATCCGAAGATGCAAAGTGGTTACTCCTGGCTCTGTAGTCAAGAATTACTCCTTGCGGTGTTTGGGGGACCATAGGGGAAGCTGGGAATCTAATGTCGGTGCAAGGCAAACACCCTACACACGATGTTATCGCTCCAGCCCCAAAATTAGTTTTCCTTTTTATTTATTTTTTTTATTTTAGTTTTTGTTTTTTCTTTTTGGGTAACACCCAGTGATGCTCAGGGGTTCCTACTGGCTCTGCACTCAGAAATTACTCCTGGTGGTCCTCGGGGGACCATATGGTATACCGGGGAGTGAACCCAGGTCAGTCGGATATAAGGCAAACGCCCTACCTGCTGTGCTATTGCTCCGGCCCCCCAAGCATACTTTTTCATATGGAATCTTTTAGCTGAGGGATCACTAAATTGTGTGGTCAAATACATATATTAAAATAATTTGTGGATTTTTTTTTCTCTTTTGGTTTTTGGACCAGAGCCAGTGGTGATCAGGGCTTTTTCTAGGTGCTGGTGCTCAAGGATTATAGGTAATGGCTCTCAGGGGACCATTTCTGGTGCTGAGATTAGATCTGGGGTCACCCATCTGTAGGTCAAGCACCCTCTACATTGTATACTCTCCTCTCTAGCACAGTATTGCATAACTTTAAGAAGTTTGATAGGTTCTTCTGTGTAACTAATTAGCAAATGATGTGTCCAAGTATCGTCACGTGAAAAAAAAAGGAAAAAAACTAACTAAAACCTAAAGGAAAAAATCTAACCAAAGACTAATCCCTCTAGTCATGGCACGACCAGGTTCTTGACCATGCGATACTTCAAAACCACACACCCTGCCATACTCCAAGATTACCGCACCACATTTGATAGGTCTCAAAGTAGGAGGGAAACAATCTTGGAGGGAAATATACATTTAAAAAAACAGATATAGAGCACACAAGGTTCCACCTTTAACGGCACGTTAGTGAACTCTTATAGAAGGACTTAATGGCCCCTGTTGAGATACAACAATCTCCACACTCTTTCATCTAAGCATACTTTTTTGGAGCGTTTTCAGCAGTCTTTCACAACAAGCAAGACGAAATATATTATTTTGGTTCTGGTTTGGGACTGGGTATGAGCTTCAGGATGGAAACGTCTGCAATATGATATAGGAAGGTTTGATGGGGGTGGGATGTGTGTTCGAATATTAAATGTCATCAAATACCGTGAACTACTTTATAAAATAATAATAATAATAATAATAAAAACACTAGCCCCTTCTGCCCAAAGCACAAGTACTCACAATCAATGTTGTAGATGTCGGGATCATCTGCTTTATGTCCAACTGCGGAGAACATTCCACACTCTCCGTTGTTCCTAAAAAATAAATCAATAAAAATCTCCGTGATTTGTCCTGGAATGCTCCAGCGCAGATAGCTGGATGAAGAGAGTACGGCCCAGACACACATGGCTCAGCTCCAAGAGGACGTCAAGTCATGTGACTTCTATGTGGACACCTCTGCTGAGTGGATTGAGTCAGAGAGTCAGAGAGGAAGACATCCAGAAGGATCTCTCATATTTGTGGAAACATCGTAGGGGAATAAATGTCTCCTGTACTCTGAAACATCATAGGGGAATCAGCCAATGCCCAGAAAGGTGACAGAAACCAAGACTTGAGAACTGCTTCCCAGTAGGAAGCCTGCCACTTGGTTAGCTGATCACTCCTCTCACCATAGATGGAGAAGCTGGGGACTCATTTGGAAGGAAATGGACCCTGTTGATGGGACTGCTGTTGAATGGTTGCATGCAGGAAACCCAATCATGGATAACTTGGTAACTTTGCAACTCATGGCAATTCATTCAACGTTATAGATCAAGGAGAAAAATATTGAAGTCAAACAAGGATAATCAAGAGGCAGAACAAGAAACACCATCGAGACTGAGATACATTTTCCTCAACGGACTTGCTAACACCTTAGCATTTTATTTCAAAAGTGAATTCTCCCACTGAACATTTTCTTAAAATGTTCACTTTATATAAAGTAACAGTATGGGAGACTAACACCCAATAATAGTAGAGATAAAGGCTAGGAGGATCGCCTCTGGCATGGAAACCGGCCTCCCATGCTGAGGGAAAAGGGATCTCAGATAGAGAAGGAACCATCGAGTAAAGGATGCTTGGAGGATTCACCCAGGATGGGAGATGCTACTGAAAGTAGACTATAGACCAAACATGATGGTCCTTCAATACCTCTATTGCAACCCAAAAGGAGAGAGAGAGAGAGAGAGAGAGAGAGAGAGAGAGAGAGAGAACAAAAGGGAATGCCCTGCCACAGAGGTGGGGTGAGATGGGGGGGTGGGGGGGTGGGAGGGATACTGGGATTACTGGTGGTGGTGAATGGGCACTGGTGGAGGGATGGATAATCCATCCTTGTATGATTGAAACATAACCATGAAAGTTTATAAGTCTGTCACTGTATACCCAAACAAGGATCCATTTAAAAATAATAATTTTTTAAAAATGCTCATTGTAGTGCATTGCCGATAGCTAATTTTCTCTGCCGCTAAGATCACTCAGGCCTGTTTTTGCCAACACCTACTCCCTGCAGTGAAAATAGCTGATGAGTGAACACCCTGGAAACTAAGGGCATCCCCTGTCATTCTCTCCGGTGGACTGAACACGGAGCATTCGGTGAAGAACTTCCTCTGTGAACCAAGTTCAAAGACTTGAAGTATTCAGAGAGTACAAATATGTCACTAACCACCCTCTATACGGAAGAGCAAGACTCAACAGTGGTTTGTGAAGTCAAGAGATGTGTGGCTCTAGGTGCAAGGAAATGTCACTTACTTCATCCAGAAATTCAAGGTGACGGAGTTACAGTCTACGCCTTCGCAAGAGATGTCTCTAAAGTAGCCTCTCAGTTCCCCATTTTCTTGAATCTTCTCTACATTGTCGGCGGCAACGCGAGCCATACGCCACTGACCTGTGTGCTGGGAAGAAAAGTTCCAATGAAGAAGGACAGTCACATTTCTCACTTTTCTCATACACTCCCACCATCAATTTTTCTTGTGCTTCATTGCACGTTGGGAAAAAATAATTACAGATTCTTTATCTGACCAAGCAAAGTAGGGCTCTAATGCCTATGGGGTAGAATTACAGAAACAAGAATTGATATGGTAGAGACAAGGATTGTAGAGTTATAAAACAAGAATTGGGAACTCTCGGGTATGCAATTATAAGGTCCTTAAAATAGTAAAAAAAAAAAGGTAATTTGGAGTTCATGCCCAGTTCAATCAGCTTAATCAATGGCTGAATAAATAGCAGAAAATAGCAGTACTCCTACATTATTAAAATGTTTTTAAAAAATCTAAAAAAAGGCAGTAAAAATATGTTCACTCATATACAATAAAACACTGGTGCTATCAGAAAATTAACCTTGGCTTACTTTTCTTTTGACTGTGGATGAAAATATAAAGGAATTCTCCTTCTTCGAGATGGGAAGGAATAATGTAGAGAGATGGAAGAGATTGTTTGATTATGATCAGATCCACAGATCAATATGTATATCAAGTCTCCAGCACTGAGACTAGAGTGATAGTCCAGTGGGTAGGGCGCTAGTCTTGTACTGCAATGTTCTTGGTTCAAACCTGGCATCCCAGATGGTACCTGAGTACCACCAACAGTGAGTCATTAGCTCAGAGACAGGGCCAAGCCCTGAGCACTCCCAGGTGTGCCCACAACAACAGCAACAACAAAATTACAAAATACCTTACAAACTAGAGTGAGGAATGCATACACACACACACACACACACACACACACACACACACACACATCAGTTCTTCCCTGTTACCCTCTGTTGCAGGTTGGCAGAAGCCACAGCCACGAACAGAGCCAGGAGTACAAATTTCATCTTGCCGATGTCTTAGGGTCCTTCTTCCAGAGAAGTGGAAAGTGCAGGATGAAGATACTCCAAATGTGTTGGGCTTTTTATAGCTCTGCTCTGTGGCCCCGGGCACAGGATCGACCAATGGTCGGCGGTGATCAATCACGGATGCTTACGCATATGGAAATATCTGGTTAGTTTTCAAGACAGCTGTCAAGCAATAATGAGATTTGTTTTAAGAGGAGCTTAAGTTGGAGTGGACAGTTGACCTTTAGATTGCAGGCAACCAAGGACAGACAGACATTCACGTTTTTCAAGGGCAATGACACTTATTTTCTTTTTCATTATCCTGAGTTCCACCCGGGCTGAACACTCCAAGATTGGTATTCCTACTCTGAGCCTAGTTTTCATGGAATACATAGAGCTAACTGCATTTTCCACAAGCAAAATCTGCCTTACTCCAATTAATTTAGGTATCCATACCCTCATCGAAAGGTATGAGTTTTATTTATTTATAGTTAAATCTACCTATTTAAATCTAGCAAAATGTTGCACAGAACAACAAACCAAATGTTTCCCCTATCACTGGAGAGAGATTTGATGAACCTCTCTTAAATCCATCCCTCAAATTTCATTTCAGAATATGTGGACCAGGAACTTCCCCGAAATGATTCTCACTCATGGCAAAGTCGTGATATTCAAATTTCTGTCCTTATGTTTGGGGGTGTTTAATCTCTACCTTGATTTCATGGATTGGTGTCTATGCAGATTACACACAATTTTGTTTCAGATTTGTTTATTCTTCCATGTCAGATTTTATTGAGGCATTACTGTTAGCAGGAACATAGGACTTCTATCTTTGCAACGTCGCTATACAGAGATGAATTGTCTCTTAGAACCAGTTGTACACAGGAGAGAGTTTGGTTTAAAGATACAATAATGAGGCAATCTAAAAATAAAGCCTTATCTAAAATTGACGACCAGGACTAGACAGGCTAACGCTAACAAAACCACATAGTTTGTTACTCACAAAGAACAAAAATTAAAGGCAGGTGCATCGGATGAAAAACAAATACCCAGAAGGTAAAGAAATTAGTTGGTGCTCTCAATCTTCATCTCTCTTCTGAATTTGACCGCAATTCACGGCTACTGAATAAACAGTTTTTAAAACATTGAGAACTAGCCCATACATAGCAGGGACAGTGAAGGAATATTGAACAAGCTGTAGGACTGTCGCTCATAATGATGGACGTGATTATCCCTTTGCATCTTCGTTGAGTTTTTGCTAATCCTGCCTCCTAAGAGAAAATCCACCATACATCTAGAGTCCCAACACCCAACATTGATGTCTCTGACACCATTTCTCATTCTACATTTCTTCAGTTTTTTTTTAATGCGGTATTTTGATATGTGCATTTTCCAGCTTCCTCCAGTCGGTATTATAATTTTGATGCATCTCTGCATTGTGTGTATCTAGTCATATAGACCAGTAATTAGCATTCTATGAGTCTAGTGTTTTCACTTATTTACATTTGAACCGCTGGGGATGAGAGGGATACTGGGGGAATTGGTGGTAGAGAATGGGCACTAGTGGATGGATGGATGCACGATTGTTGTATTACTGAAATGTAAACACGAAAATTTGTAAGTCTGTACCTGTACCCCACGGTGATCCATTACAAAATAAATTTAAAAAAATAAAAGTTTAAAAAACTATGAACTGCTGTCTTTTCATGGACAAGTCTGCTACACTCTCTCACGTGGGTGTTGAGAGATGAGTGCACTTTCTGGGCTCCAAGTGCTGAGGACCTCATGCATTCCAATCAGCAGCCTATGAAAACTTTCCTTGTGGCTATAAATCTTTGTCTACTTTGAGTGTGTTTGGAAAATTTGAAGAGATGATAAATAAGACATATGGGTGACTTAGCTGCCTTTTCGAAGTATTCATTTCCCGAATGACTAAAGCATATCTGGGTGTTTTGTTTCCAACCATGTGCTTTCCATGAGAAGTTGGACACCTCACCCTTGGTCCATTCCACATGGACGGGGTTATTCCACTTTACTACTATGGAGCACACAGATGAATAGACAGACTTTCGATTCAATTCCTTTCCCAGAGAGGATGCTTATGAAGAAAATCCCCCACCTCTGCATCCTTATTTTCAAAACTCTATGGTTTACTGTTCTTTACTAAGTTTCCTGCTTAGTGGTGTATGAATGAAAAGGTCAGAACTATATCACAGTTTTCATGTAGTATGTGTATATGGTTTAAGATTGGACATGGGTCTTTGATCTACAAATCTTTACGCAAGTTTTTTATCCTTATTTTGGAGTACATCCCTTGAATACGCAAGTTATTTTGGAATAGAATAAAAGGTGATCAAATAAGGTTCTCTCACCGAGCTTGTGCAGACACTGTCCCCAAATAGCTATTGAATTTCGGGTTTTACATTTCCTAACAGACCCTTACATTGTCCATCATCCCTGGACATCTGAGCCTCAGATGCCATCTCTGACCATCTGGGAGTACCTCCTTCCTTTCTTCCCTAATAGGGCTCTTCAAATCCTTTTCAAAGACAAGAAAGGGATTGTTTCAGCTTCCGCTTCCTCCCGAGTGTTATGGAAATCTGTTCTTCAAATGACTTTTTTCGTGAACTCAATCTTAATCTCCAAGTGGTAGCTATGCCCCAGTTCCTTAAAATCTTGCAGGGAAAAAGACAACTATCTTTATAGTATGGGTTGAAGCCAGTCAGACACCTTCGGCTTAGTGTTCCTCCTTATTAGTCTTATATGATGATAGCAACATGCATATTTTTGTCACTTTACAACTTGTAATTTTGGTTTTCTTATACTCCCAGGTTTTTCATTGTTATTCTGAGAGAAATGAGCATTGAAACTCAAAGAGTTTTATAGCCAGTTGAGTGAAAATTTGCACAGGATTGACCTATCCTGGGCTATAAGGAAACATTAGCACTCTGTTTCTTTGGGGTCTTCTTTGTGTATGATCATTACCGGGGGGTAATGATCTTTACTGTCCTTTTTCAATTGGGGTCTTCATTCAAACTCAGAGAGAAATATTGTGTGTCAGGGAATGCCGTTTTGCATTTTGTTCTCTTTTAGGCTGGGGCTATAGCACAGCGGGTAGGGCATTTGCCTTGCACGTGGCTGACCCGGGTTCGATTCCTCCTCCCTTCTCGGAGACCCCGGCAAGCTTCCGAGAGTATTCCTCTGGCAGAACAGAGCCTGGAAAGCTCCCCATTGCATGTTCGATATGCCAAATACAGTAACAACTAGTCTCACAATGGAGACGTGACTGGTGCCCGCTCGAGCAAATCGATGAACAACAAGAGGACAGTGCTACAATGCACAGTTCTCTTTTAGTGCCCAGAGCTTTGAAATCATATCTCGATATTTCGCCCCCCCATTTAATCCCTGTGTGTGTGGTTGCCATCGCAATCCATATTTTCTCTTTCACCAAATCCACACACATCTTCAGTTCCATGCCGGGTCAACAGGTAAAACGCGTTCACCTTGTCCTCTCATTGGAATCATCTGGCACAGGCCCACCCAGGGATGGCTGTTGATGAGGGTCGTATCCTTAGGTATTTCCTCAAACATACCCATTCGGTCATTCAGGGACACCGTTCTGGTCTCTTCATCAAGGGGAAATTACAGAATATTTTCCCAAGAGATTATCTCAGCAGCTTGATCTTCATCTAATAATCCTCTTAGACAAAATTACATGACCTTCAAATAACAATGGTTTCTCTCTCTCGCTCTCTGCACATATATGTAATTTATTTTAAACAGTCAATACATATATACTCTATATAGTTGTTTTAAAACAGCCTTACTACATATACTATAGTTTTCCAAACCAGTCTTAATATGTGTATTGACATTTTTAATTTTATTTTTTAAAACTTTATTGCTTATTTGTATTGCGAGTCGGTGGCCTCTGATGTTCTTCAGAATGGTTTTTCATACACTTGGTTCCAACAGCCAAACCCATTGGACCCCATCCCTGTCCCAAGGCCCCCACCACTCCTAGCTTGTCTCTCAACAGTCTTAATATTTTTATTATTG